ACCTGGTCGGGCTGGTGGAGGTGACGCTGAGCCTCCTGCCGCTGCTGCGGCGGGCGCGGGGCCGCGTGGTCAATGTGGCCAGCGTGATGGGCCGCATGTCCTTCTTCGGTGGCGGCTACTGCCCCTCCAAGTACGGCGTGGAAGCCTTCTCTGACAGCCTCAGGTAAGTCTGACCCAACAGACTCCATCCTGATTTTCCAATTAGTTTTTCTGGACTTTGTCTGGCACAGTGGTCAACTCCCATCATTGTACAACTGTGACTGAGCGTAAGTTGAACTCATATCTGCTGCTGAAGCAGAACAGCTCCTGTTCTGTCATGGAACCTCCCCTGCAGACATTGCCCCTGTCCAAGATCCTGCAGGACATGACCCTGCTGTCCCAAGCTTTGCTTTGTTCCCAGCCCATCCAGATATGGCAAATGTTTACTTACACACTGTCTCAGCCACGTGCCGGGCTGGCACAGGGTTCGCTGGTGTGATCAGGCTTTGCTCCTCGCCTCTGGCACGATGCATCCCATGGGAGATGCAGGCACGGACACGCTCCTGTGCTGCTTCCATGTCCCATGGGACACAATCCCTTCCAGGCTTGAGATGCGCAACTTTGGGGTGAAGGTCTGTGTGATTGAGCCGGGCTACTTCAAAACAATGATCAGCAACGTTGAGAACCTGGAGAAGAATTTTCATGACAGCTGGAAGAAGCTTCCAGAGGAAATCAAAACCAGTTACGGGGAGGGTTACTTGAGGCAGTGTAAGTACCTCCCCTAAAGGCTGTGATCCTCTTTCCTGACACAAGGCACATCCCCAGGGCCACGAGGGTCCCATGGGTGTCCCACTGCCCCAAAACCCCATGGAGCCACTTGACTCCGCTCAGCTCCAGCGTCTCAGTGGTGTTTTCTGCCTCTGCAGTTGTGGCTATGCTCAAGTTGCTGCAGAAGACCTACAGCTCCGACCTGTCACTGGTCACCAACTGCATGGAACATGCACTGACCAGCCTGCACCCCCGCAGCCGCTACTCTGCCGGCTGGGACGCCAAGCTGCTCTACATCCCCCTCAGCTACCTGCCCTCAGCCCTCAGCGACGCCCTGTTCGCCGCGTTCTACCCCAAATCTGTTGGGAAAGCCTAAAGGGGGAATGCAGCAGGCAGCCAGGACCAGAGTGAGATCCAATGACACATACGAGGATCCAGAATGGGCTGCAGCCAAGGCCACACCGAGGTCCCTGAATTTGTGACTGCATCCACGTCTGACCCTCTGTCCCCTGCCCACGGTTGAGTTTGTCCTGAATAAAGATGCCCTGTCCCCTCCTGGCAGAGTGTGGTGTCACTCTCAGTCTCACCGAGGCTGTGCCTGGAGGCTCTGGCTCTTTCCCTGTGCACCTGCTGCATTCAGGATCCAGCCCCTGACAAGTTGCCAGAGGACTTGCCCAGACTGGTAACCCAGGTATTGACACACACAAATTAAACTCAGACCTGTTCCAACTCGAGCCGATTTCCCTCTGGCAAAGAACCAAGCAGCCTCTCATAGAATCCTCCTCCTTTGCTTCCTCCTTCTCTTCCTCCTCCCGCAGAGCTGGTTGAGGGGGGAGCTGTCCTGCTCCATCACCACATTTGGGGACACTGTCCCCCACCAACCCTGGGTGGGAGAGAAAGGTCCAGGTTTGGTGCTGCTGACAGTGTCTGGAGGGTCCCACCAAATCCAGCTCCACGGGACATTGGGATCCACCTGCTAAGGGCACAGCAGAGCCCCAGGCACAGGGAGTGGTGCAAGGCAAAGCTGAGAATTACAAATATTACAAACCAGGAGGACGAAATTCGCCCCGGGTGCTGCAGCAATCCCGGCTCTATAAAATGCGGCCCGAGCGCGGATGGCACGGGCTGTCACCGAGCGGTGCCACTGCCGAGGATGTGGCTGTACGCGGTGGCTTTGCTGCTGGGGCTGTTCCTGCTGCGGCGCTGGCACCGGGAGCGGCAGACGGTGCCGCGGCTCTCGGAGAAGCACGTGCTGATCACAG